TATTGGCTGCGATACGTTAAAAAAAAAAAAAGAAAAGAAGAAAAAAAAAATCGATCGAAAAGTGCAAGGCCATTTCCATCGTTCGAAAACGTTCATTTCGCGATTCTGGATCGAGATTCTGGATCGTCGATGCGCGTTAATAACGCGGCCAGGGAAGAGAACAAACGAGAAAACGTGGATGTTGTTCTCTTCGAAATTCTCACGTAATGTTCCCTCTCCACCGCCTTGGGTGTTGCGGTCGAGTTAGTATTCACTACTTCCTGACCTGACCCACATTCATTCACCCATTCATTGCACCCGCGAATCTTTCGGTTCACCGAGAGCCGTGTGTCGAGCTTCCCTGACTTTTCTTAATCTCGTTGAGAATAGCTGTGTCGAGACGATTTCTCTTTATTTTTCTTTATTTTCTTTCTTTCTTTTTTCTTTTTTTTGAACGATGAAACGAGAAAATAAAAAAAGAGCAATTTTCTCGAGCTCGGGCGGGGAACAGTGCTTGTTCCTTAATCCAAAACTTTGGACCGGAGAATGTGTGTGAAATTTCGAAATTTTTGTTAGAGCTCTTGATACGATTTTTGTTTCACGATATTATGTTCATATAATTGAGAGGAAAAATAATTTTTGAAATAATTTCGATCATTAATTTTGTTACGTCGAAAATATTCCAGTTTCTCGTTCATTTCATATTTTTGCATAATTTTCACTTTGATTTTTATTTTATATATGTAAAGATGTAATCGAAAAAAAAAATTCTTTTATAGAAAAATTTTCATCGATTATTATAATGATTAAATTTTGCGTTGTGTAAGAATGTGCAATGTTCAGAATTAGTTAATTAATAAAGAAATTCGAGTTAGATATCGCTTGAACTTTGACAACGAGTAATCGTATATCGGTTGTAAATATGTTGATTAATTTTATCTTGTTACCGACATTGATTTTCATTATACAATCTTAGTTACAGTTACGTAAGCTTGTTCATAAAAAGATGTTTAATTAACGACAGTCGAAACGGTTGAAGTTTATTTCTCGACTACGCGAATATTAACGAGTACATTCTCATTCTTCCCTCTAAAATGACAATAGTATAATATTTGTTATTTTCTTAAAATCAATTTCGTAACGCGCCACGGAAATTCTTGTTAAATTAGCAAATTTGTTGAGCGTGCAATTAATACGACTCCGCCGCGCATTACACTAATACTAATACTAACATCGTATATATTGTATTGTGTATTGTATCGTAGCTCTATTGAATCGATCATATTGCAAACTTGATTCCTTCCACTGTAATATCGAGTTACACTCGTGACACAGATTAGAGAGGAGGACGAAACGTACGTGGGAATTACGTTTGGGGAGTTAATTTTAATTCTAAACAAGACCGGAACAATTATTCCTGCTCGAACATGATTATCGTCTTAATTTTGATTTTATCGTAATTGAATCAGGAGGATTGTCGAGCGTCAATTACACGAACATTACATCTCTATTAATTCTATAAATTATCTGATTCCAAAATCTATTATTATAATCATTAAAATAAATCGTTATTTCAAGGCTAATCTGAAATTAAATCTTTATACTTGTAAATTCTATTCTC